AAACCGCCAGCTTGTGTGATCATGAGGTGTGGGTGGGAATAGGTATCAATAGTTCACGGACAAGCAATCAAATTAATTGACAAAAAGGAACATAGGCAAAGTGGAGACCCAAAACCCACTTGTGAGATAATGGGACAGTCCCTCAGAGAAGGGCCATATGGAAGGGACAATATATCCAGGGTGCAGTATAGCACTGATGAAACACACAACTATCCTCTAGTTCTTTAAAATTTCCTCCTACCACTATCATGGCCTTAGTTTTACCTCACTCATCTTTCTAGTCCTGCGTATGTACATCGGTACAATCAAGATCTTTCGATGCATGAAATCCAAGATAGGTAGACCCCTTAGAAACAGTAAGGGGGATAATGATTCCCTGAGGATACAGGAAGAGAGGAGGGGGCAGGGGGCAGGGGGAGCTGACAGCAATGCTGACTGTACAACCCCACTCGAGGGAAACAGACATCAGAATTTTAGGTGAATGGATACATTGGATGGTGTAAATTATGGCAAATAATAATAATATATTAAAGTTCAAGGAGGTGATAAAGCACAGCTGATATCGAGTTCAAGAAGAAAGAAAATGCATTGAAAATGATAATGGCAGCAATTGTACAACTATGCTTGATCTAATGGAAAGATGGATTGTAATTGTGTCTGTAAAAGCTTCTAATAAAATGTTAAAAAATTTGGGAAAAAAAAGAAGAAGAAAAAAAGATCCCTGTTAAGGCTTGCCCTGGTGGTGCTGTGGGCTCGGCATTGTGCTACTAACTGTAGGGTAGGCGCTTCCGACCACCAGTCACTCCAAGGGAGAGAGATGAGGCTGCCTGTCCCCGTAATGATTCACAGTCTGGGACACTGGACACAGGGGCGCCAGGCGTCGGGAGGGCTCCTGGCAGTGGGTTCGGCTTACCGCCCTGGACTCCCCCTTCCACCACAAACTGGGAAGGTGGGCAAACCACAGAGGCAACTTTGCAGGAACTGTGACTGTGCGTCTCGAGATAATGAAAATGCAAAGGGGGGTCACCCATCGCCCCAGCTCTCCGCCTCAGGCCCCTGGTGGCACTCCAGCGGGAGCTGTCTCACAGAGCGGATGCCCAGGAATTGCTCTCTGAGCTACAGGGGTTGCTGTAATTAACAGGGCAGAATACAGAGACTCGGAGAAGAGGGGCCTACCTGCAGGGGTTGAAGGGCACTGGGCAGGGTTAGAGATGACTCGGCTTTAGGCAGGGCTGTGCTGTGCATGTGTCGAGAGCCTATGAGAGACCCAGAAGAGTCGCCCGCTGTGGGCCAATGAAGGTGAGAAGATGGGCCACTCCCAGAAGTTTCCCCAGCCCTCCGACCATGGCCTTCTCTCCCTGGGCCTCTCCCCAGGCCACGCCTGCCAGATCGGCTTTCTGTCCGTGTGGCTTTGTATTTAACTGATGATAAACAAAACCTCACTGCATGTGTCCCCCCTCCTTTTTTCTTCCTTCCACTTCCATACAATCATGTCACAATCCATCCCCGTGGCTGCCTAGAGTCATAGGTTTTTGGCACCAGCTCTCGCATGCCCTGTAGCCTGGGGTTTTATTAGGGGTGTGGGGGGGTGGAGGGGTGGGGAGGAAGCTACACCGACACAAGGAGGAGCTGGGCCGAGATGCACTTTAATAACCAGCTCCCGTTGGGGTGAGTCCGACTCACCGAGACCCCGTGTGTCTCAGAGGAGAACCAGGCTCCACGGAGTTTCCAATGGCTGATTTTTCCAAAGGAGACATTTCTTCCGCAGTGCCTCTGGGTGGGCTTGAACCTTCAGCCTTTCAGTTAGCAGCTGAGCCCACAATCACTTAGGGCAGCCTCACAGACGCCTCGACTAGGCAGCCCCAGGCGCTCTTCTCTGAACGGACCTCCTGATTTGCCTAAGTCAGGGTGAGCAGCCCCACCTCTGCCATCAGTCCTGGGAAGGCTCCTGGCCTGGGCTGAGAGGCCTGGAGGGGTGGGGGTTGGGGGAGCTGACCCATCAGGCTCGTAGGGGGAACCAGCAGCCCTTCACAGCATCCACGTCTGAGTGTTCTTTGCTGGCCATTGATCTGACGCACACACGTCGATTTCAAGAGTCAGATCAGGCGTCCCAACATCTCATCCGGGAAGCCTGCTCTGAGCTCCTCCTCCCACTTAATAGCCCCTAGGCTCTTGCCAGCCTCTGGATTCCTCATACCTTCTGCCACTGCCCATCCCCCTCTACATCTGGAGTCCCTAAAGGTCCTACTGGACCAGGAGCCCAGCTGGGCCTCCAGATGCTCGTCATGATGGCTGTGAGTCATTGAGAAACATCAGGATCAAAGTCTTCCAGTCAGTGTCTGCGTGTTCCCACTGGGAATGTTTGCTAAAAAGGAAGCTGAGATGCTTCAAAAGGTAACCTTCACCTCTCTGTAGCCTTGAGACTGTTGGGGATGGCACAGCACATGGGAAAGCTGGGCAGCAGCAGGCACACCGGACAGCCACCTGTCTCCCGGGAACCTTTGTGTCTTCTCCCATCCCATGACATCTGCGAAATCATCTTACTGACTCCTAGAGACACACTCACAGCAGGAGTTATCCCTGTCACCTGAGCCTGTTCCACGGCTGGTTTTTCACAAGCAGATCAACAGGCCTTTCTTCAGATGTGCTGCTTCGTGGACTGGCACCTCCAACCTGTCCTTTAGCTTAAGTGTCTGAGCCACCAGGGCCTCCTGGCTGAGCAGTTTGTTTGACCCTTGTGTTAGTCTGGGTGCACTAGAGAAACAAATCCAGGGAGACTCATATGTGTATAAGAAAGAGCTTTCTATACAAGAGCAATTGAATATTGAGAAAACATCCCAGCCCAGTCCAGATCAAGTCCTTAAGTCCAATATTAACCTATATGTCCAATACCAATCTATAAATTCCTTTTCAGACTCACGAAACACATGCAATGATGCCGAATGCAGGAAGATCACAGGTCAGTGTGTGGGAAGTCTTGTGGATCCAGGGGCATTGCAAGCATCTCAGCACTAGCAGGGGATCTCTATGTGGTTCCTCCAGTTCAGGGTACCAGTGTAGTTCATGTGTCTTGTCAGCTGTAATGTCTCCCAGGGAGTAAGCTATTTATCTCCTTAGCACCTCCAAATGAGGTCATCTAGCTGTCACCTGATTGACAAGCTAAGCTCCACCCCATTCACTCTTAATCCTCTCAAATTGACACCAGATGATCTAACTACCACACACCCCGTTCACCATCACAGGGGAAGCAGTGTTGAGAAACCACCATCTTCAGAGAGCTTGCTCTGCACCCCTTTCTCCCCTTACCCCCACCCCACAGTCCTGCCTACTTCAGCCAGGCGCCTGCTCCTCTTCATTCCAGTTCTGCACTGGGTCAAACTCCAGCTGTGCTAAATGAACTCTCAAATCCTGCTTTCCGTGTGTGTGTGTGTGTGTGTGTGTGTGTGTGTGTGTGTGTGTAAAACTCAAAAACCAAACTCGCAGCCCTTGAGTCAATTCTAATTCATTGACATCATACGACAGGGTAGAACTGTCCCTGTGGATTTCTGAGGCTGTAACTCTTTACAGGAGTAGAAAGCCTCATCTTTTTCTGACAACTGCTGACTTTGCTGTTAGCAAAGTGTGTGTGTGTGTGTGTGTGTGTGTGTGTGTGTGTGTATTATTCATGCTAAGGGAGTTCCTCCCCTCACCCCCCTCGGTCAACTCACCATGATTTTACCATCTTAATTGTCACAGTTAGGGGGCATGGACCACATGTCCTCATGGCAAGGTGCCATCGAGTCTGTCTGCCCTGACTTAGTGACCCCCAGTAGATGGGACAAAGCCGCCTGGTCCTGATGTGTCACCACCGTTGCTGTCTGATTCCACTGTTGCAGCTGCTGCGTCAAACTGAAGGTCTCCCTTCATTTCACTGAACCTCCCCTTTAGCAAGCACAATGCCCCTGTGCAGGGGCTGGTCTCTCCTGACAACATGCCCAACGTATAGGAGGCGAAGTCTTGCCATCTTCCCTTCTAAGGAGCACTCTGGCTGTACCTCTTCCAGGAGAGGTTTGTGTGTTTTTCTGCCGGCCCATGGTCCCTTCAGTATGCATCTACGACACCCCAATTCAATCACGCCACTCTCCACAGATCTCCTTACTCATTGTCCTGCTCACACACACCTGAGCAGACAGACAACCCCCTGGCCCGGGGCAGGTGTGTCTCAGAGCTCCCAGTGACAAACTTGCTTCTCACCACGTGACAGTGGGCTTGTGCGGCTGAGGTGCCCAGTGCATTTGGTCATCTCATGTGGTGGCTGCTGCTCCATGGGGATTGACTGTGGGCCCAAGTAAAATGACCATTGGGGCAAGGATTTCCATTCTTTCTCTGCTCATCATGAGGCTGCCTGTGGGCCCAGTTGTGCGGCAGGCGGCGGGCTGCTAACAACAGAGTTGGCAGTTCAAACCCACTTGCTGCTCCCTGGGAGAGAAACGAGGCTGTCTGCGCTCGTGAATGTTGACGAGTTTCAGAAAACTTATCTATGGAGGTGCTGAGTCGGCTTAAGGTCTGTTGTTTTCTCCTTTCTGCCTTACATCAGAGGGCCGGCAGGAGGCAGCACTGATCTCACAGCTATCCTTTTGAGGCTTTTAGAGTCCTGGGGTTACTATGGTTACAAATTGGGCTGCGATCTGCAAAGTCAGCCGTTCAAAACCACCAACTACTCCCTGGGGGTGGGAAATAGAAGAGGCTGTCTATGCCCCTAAAGAGCCACCGTCTTGGAAACCCACAGGAGCAGTCTACCCTGTAGGGTCGTTGTGAGTCGGCATTGACCCCAATGGCAGTGATTTGGTTTTGGTTAGTAACAGCCCTGAAAACCCCACCTGTAACTACAGTAAGAGATGGGCCATCAAACCACCGCTGCACCCTCCTCACCCCAAGCGACTTCCAGACGCGCCATTTAGCCCTAAAGCAGGACCAGTGCATGTGTGGCCCCAGGCCCCCGCCTGCCCGCTGTCTTGCAGTCTCTGAGGACATGATCCGGCGCAACGCGGAGCACAACGACTGCATCCTCTTCTCCCTGGAGGAGCTGTCCCTGCACCAGCAGGAGATCGAGAGGCTGGAGCACCTGGACAGGTGGTGCCGGGAGCTGAAAATCCTCTACCTGCAGAACAACCTCATCGCGAAAATCGGTGAGCATGCACCCCCCCCCACGCCCCCCTAGAATTTCTGGAAACACTTTGCTCCAGGTGTGATGGTGGCCAGAGAAGAGGTAGATGGAACAGGCAACACAGGCCCCTCCCAGTTCTGTGGTCTCTCTGTGTGCATGGGCTGGGACCAGTTCACAGTGGGGACCTGTGTGCTGGCCTGCTCCTTCATAGTCGGAGTTTTAAAAGATCTTCTTGTGGTGGGGCCCTATGGCATAGTGGTTATGTGTTGGGCTGCTAACCATGAGGTCAGTAGTTCAAATCCACCAGCCACTCCTCAGTAGAAAGATGAGGCTGTGTACTCCTGTAAAGAGTTAGGGTTTCAGAATTCCACAGGGGCGGTTCTACCCTGACCCACAGCTTGCTGTGAGTCGGAAGTGACTCAATGTTAGTGAATTTTTGGGGTTGTGGGGTGGTGGTGACGGGGCAGGTCTTTCGGACCGTGGTGAGTCGGTGTGGCCTCCATGGCCATGAGTTTGGATCTTGGGTGTTTATTCGGGAGCAGGCAGGGTGTGGCAGTTCTCCCTCCTCCGTGGGGCAAGCTGTTTGCACGCAGTTACTAAGCCAAAGGCTGGGGCTTCCACTCACGTAGCAGCCTCATGGAACAAAGGCCCGGTGACCTGTGCTGTACCCTGGGCTCACCCTGTGTGGGAATGGATGGCAATGGGTGTGTCCTCCTTTTCATATCCCTCTGCGGACAGACAGGGTCAGGTAGGACTTGAACACCCCCTGGCCATCAGCCCCGTGTTGGCTGTGAGGCTGTCACACTCACAGGGCTCTGCTTGTGCACAGCCTTTGGTGCTCAGAAGAGAGGCGGGGGAGGAGGGCAGTGTTGGCTGGGACTGACAGGACTGTGTGGAGAGCAGGGCTGAGGCTTGATGAGACAGAAGTGGGGTCCTTCCAGGAGCCCCGAGGTCAGCTTCAGAGATGACCCTTCACTCCCCTGGAGATGGGCAGTGGTCTGCAGATGGGAGGGGCTGCCTGAAGTCTCTGTGGGGGGGCCGGGGAGGTTGCTTCTGGCATCTCGTGGGGAAAGACCGTGGCGAGGTGAATGGCCTGCCGTGCACAGGGCAGACCCCACAAGAAGGAGTCGTCCGGCCTGGTGGTAACAAGGGCTGGTGATGGCGGTGGCCCGGACTTCATGGATCACCAAAACCGGGCCCTTGGGTGGTGTAAGAACTGGAATCTGCATTTGGGAAGACTCCCGAAACCCCCTCCCTTCCTTCAGAGCGCTATTTTCAGCATCTTTTCTTTGATCAGAAACAAGAAACTCACTGGGCATGCCGTTCAGTTACAAAGGCTGCTACGGAAACCCACCCGCTTTTATGCAGGGGGGAGGGCATTGACAAGCACTCTTAATTGTAGGGATCTAAATGAGCCCCCCCAATTTTCATTCCCCACAGCTGGGTCCGTCACAATCATTAATTAGCAGCAAAGCATTTTGGTCCTTTTCAGGGTGGGGAGGAAGCTTAGAATTTTGCTCCCAAAGCCTTCTTAAATTAACCCCCCTTGTAAGTCCCAATCACAGGGTTCTTAGCACCCCGCCCGTCCGTCCGTTACCCAGCAGCACTGAGCAGCTCGCTTTGGAAATCTAAGGATTTCTCTGGGATTCACACCGCCCCTTGGGCATTGAGGCAAAAGCTTGTAGATGGTCGCCTTTCCCGAAGCTGCCTTCCTCCCCTGAGCGACAGATGGGCCGTGAGGGAGGGCCGGCCACATGCTCGACACAGACCATCTGGGCTTGTGAAGGAGCCACCAAGGCTCCACCACAGCCCTCCTGAGTGAAACCCTCTGGGGGTGGGCCGGGGAGTCCCGCTGTTCAGTGTCCCAGTGAGCATCAAGCTGAGGGAAGGGGCAGTGCTTCTGTACCCTGGGAAGGGGTTTGACCGGCTGCATGTTCCTTACGGGCTAAAGGCAGTTGGTGAGAACGACTTCCAGTACAGTTTGGACTAGACCATCCATCCTCTTGGCCTGCTGCTATACATGTCCTACACATGGGTACAACGTGCCATCCACACAGGCACAACATGCCCTATATATAGGTACAACATGCCCCATGCATGGGTACAACATTCCTTATACATGGGTACAACATGCTCTACAAATGGGTACACATGTCCTACACATGGTTATAATATGCCCTACACATGAGTACAATGTGCCTTATACATGGTACAGTGTGTCCTGCACATGGGTCCAACATGCCCTGCACATGGGTCCAACTTGCCCTAAGCATGTGTACAACTTGCCCTATACACGGGTACAAGATGCCCTACACATGGGTACAACATGTCCTACACATGGTACAATGTGTCCTGCACATGGGTACATTCCCTATACACGGGCACAACATGCCCTACACATGGGTATAACGTGCCCTACACATGAGTACAACGTGCCCTACACATGGTACAGTGTGCGCTGCACACAGGTTCAACATGCCCTGCACATGGGTCCAACTTGCCCTAAGCATGTGTACAACATGCCTTGCACATGGGTACTTTTACTCATAGAGCTTTCTACCTCCACCCCTCCCCCAACCAATCTAGGCCTTGTGCTTCAGGAAATGGAGGAAATCTTCCCCAAACCGGTCTTATCGGTTTCTCGCAGCTGAGCACACAGAGAGCCATCCATCTGACAAGATCAGAAGGAGGTGTTAGTGTGACTGCAGGCTGGCGGTCTTAACCAGGATAGCGCCCGGCTTATTTAGTGGAGAAACAAGCTGGAAAGGCTACCATCCTTCGGGGCATGTAGGGGTCACCCAATCCGTTGGCTCTCAAATGCCTGAATGCTGCCAAGAGAACGTTTGTGCACTTCACTGTCACGCAGGAGAAATGGCGAGTCCGTAGAAAAGCCAGTATCCGATTCCCAAATCCTCATTTGGTAAACAGGCAACCCAAGGCTGGCAGCAGGGCCCATAGTTGTTCGCCCGTCGAAAGGAGCAAATGGCATACCTGGGGCTGTCGATGTCTAGTTCACTCAGCTGCTAACAGGTTGGAAGTTCAAGTCCACCTGGAGACGGTCAGAAGAAAGAGCTGGTGATCTATGTCTGAAAGATCAGCTACCAGATACGCTCTGACACATGGGACATCAGGGTCAGGCACGCTGGGTGTCTGCACCGCACAGTGGCCAGGAAGTTGCTGGCTTCAGCCAGGTGTTTGAGCTATCCAGGGGACACGGGCAGCCTTGCCCTGGCCCAGCCTGCTTGAGCCTAACCCCTGGTCTGGGGCTGGTGGGAGAGGTGAGCATAAGGTGGCCTCGTGGGCAGGGATAGAGCAGGGATGGTGCTGCACAGGCCACTGACGGTGTCTGTGGTGCAGGTGAACCCCTGTAGGAGGTTTCTGAGGCTGCCCTTCTCTAGAGGAGCGGACAGCCTTGCCTTTCTCCCATGAAGCAGCTGGTGGATTTGCATCTGACCTGGAAGCTAGCAATCCGGCACTTACTCCACAGCGCCCCCAGGCCGTCTTGCCAAAGAGCCTGGCTTTGCTAACCACAGCAGTGGTGGATAGTACTTTCACTTGAGAAAAGCAAGGCCCTTTGTGAAAAGGATCATCTCCACCTCACGTGCGCAACAGAGTAGAAGGAAACAAGCATTCTGTTATGTGTCTGTTTCAGAAAATGTGAGCAAACTCAAGAAACTGGAGTACTTGAACTTAGCCTTAAACAACATTGAAAAAATCGAGAATTTAGAAGGTAAGAATTGTCTGCTTGTACTCTATATCATGCGTTACCATTGGGATTTACTGTTAGATTTAAATAGTAGCTCTTGGACCAGCGTTTCCCAAAGTGGGCAACACCACCCCCAGGTGGGGGGTACCAGGACGATCCGGGTCTGGGAGGGGCTGCAATATCCAGTACGTACACTTTGCCCTGATGGTGGCATTGGAACTTGCCAGGGCGGTGCTGAGTAATTTTTTTTTCTTCAAAGGGGGTGATAGCCAAATAAGTTAAGCAATAGGTACAGTGTTCAAATGAACATAATTTTACCTGAGTCTTAGATCTATGAATGCTGCCTGTAACGATGCAGTCAGGAGATATCTACCCCCTGCCTTGGAATTGATTCCTGCGGTTGCGACCCAGCCTTCCCAACTACGTGCTTTCCTTTCCGCAGTCTCTTTCCCCGCTGGGGTCCAGGAGTGGAACACACAGTGAAGCACACGGCTGCTCACCAGCATTTAGGGGGTTCAGGGTCCCTCAGAGGAACCTCAAAGAAAGGTCTGGCAACCTGCTTCTCCCCTAATTCACCACTGATCACCCCGGGGAGCCCACTTTCATGCTGACCCACAGAAGGTTGCCATTTGAAGGAACCCCAGAGCCACCTTTTGTTGTTTGTGTTTGTATATTGTTGCCCCTGCTTAGATCTCTGGTTACGAACTTCCTCCAGAGGTTTGAAGATGCTGTTCTCTGAAGCTCCATCTCATGACCAGAGGCCCATCCTGTTCTGCCTCTGGGGCTGCAAACAAACCTCTTGCTCCCAGGGAACCTTAGCACACGTTCCCAAACCCTTGGCCACCCTCACCCCCTTTCAAGAAATACAACCCCAAACCAAAGAAACGAACAAACAGAATGACTCGTGCCCCCTCGGCAATTCAACGCGTCTCTTCTCCATCATCCAGGATAAACTGTGGTATTGTCGGTGGTCTCGAGCTGGGTCAGAATGCTGGCCGTCCTCACAATGGTTCTTGTGTTGGCGTCCCCTGATGCAGCCACTGTGCCAATCCACCTCCTTGAGGGCCTTCCCCCTTTCCCGCTGCCCCTCTTCTGTACCAAGCAAGACGTCCTCCCCCAGTCTCTCCTGACAGATAACATGTCCGAAACACGTGAGACAAAGTCTTTCCATTCTTGCCCAAAGTGGAGGGACCTGCTTTGGTGGCTGCCCTCCAGGGCACGGTGCTGCCCGCCTTGGGAAACACGCTTCTGGCTGGCTGGAAGTTTGCGTGGCTTGGTTGGTCCGTCTTTTGCTGGATCGTTTTCTTGTCTGCATGCGCTCTGATCTCCCGAGAGTTGCTTGTAGATGGATTTTGGCTGACTGCCCTGATCCTTCAGGAGCCCTGGCCGTGTGGTGGGTGAGCTGCTGGACCTGCTAACCACAAGGCCGGCAGTTCAAACCCACACCCGCCAGCCGCTCTGCGGGAGAGAGCTGTGGCCATCGGCTCCTGCCGAGATTCTAGCCCTGGACGCCTCGGAGGCCGTGCTGGTCTCTCCCACAGATGCACCAGGAGTCGGAACCCCCTGGATGCAGTGAGCTTGGTCTGTTTGCCTCCTGGGTGACTTCTGTCATTTTGACTTTTAGCCTGATGGCAGACGACCTGCCCCCCTGGGCTCACTCCATAATGCAGTCCTTGTGTGATTCGCCCTTTGCTGCGGCCACCCCATTTGTCCCGGAGAACTCGCTCCTGCGCCCCCACCATGGTGTTTCTGTGGCGACCTGCTCTGATTCCATGGTCAGAGAGCGCAGCCACCTCTCTTGTTAGGATAACATCGTCCCCAGTTTCTTCTGCTTCCAAGACCAGGCCGGCCCTGGTCATCGTCCATGCCCTCTTTCATGTGCCAAGCTGTTCTCTCTAAGCAGGTGGAGGTGTGTGTGTGTGTGTGTGTGTGTCGGTGTGGGGGTGGGGCACTGTGGACTCCAGGGGAGTGGGCAAGAGGCAGGCTGACAAGCCTCCTTTCAGAGCTAGGGCCACAGGGCCAACTGGACACCTGCTCCCCACCCCACTCCCATCTGCCAATCGCTAAAGCCAGAGGGCCTTCGCTCAGTTCACGGTGGGGTGGGTTTCTGCCTCCTGCCCCCTGTGCAGACATCAGTATTTCAGAGACCACCAAGGCTGCGTGTCAACAACCATGTGCACATGCATCCAAAGTTTCCATTGTCACCTTCGGTGCCGTCTTCACCCCCACGTCCCTCACCTGCTCGTGAGTCAGGTGGATCTTGCTCTCTGTGGTGTCTTTCTGCGGAGGAGGTGAGGGCCTTGCCCGCTCGCAGCAGTGAGTCAGCAGGGCAGGGACTGCTGTCAGCCCAGCGGAACAGCCCAGCCATGGATCAGCACATTGGGGGGTAAAGTGAGGCTGAAGTGGTGGGGGAGTCAGTCAAACACCCCTGGGTCACTAGTCATACTGGTTTGGAAAGTGCTTCTGGGAGGCAGGTGCTCTTTGGGGGTGGTGCGGTTTGCAAACACACCACGAGAGGGCAGCATTGTCACGGTTGTCTGAGGCGTCTCCCTGCCTGCAGTCCAGGGCCCAGCTCCAGCCAGGTGGCCTGCGGGACCCAACCAGCTTTGATCATCACTTGTTTGGGGGAAGGGAGGGAGCCTGGAGGCAGGAGGCATCTTATCACCGGGATATAGGCACCTTCCATTTGATTTCAAGGGGGTGAGGTGAGAGATGAGGGACGTGGGTATCCGGATTGCAGGGTTATTACCGCTAAGAACTGGATGCTCCCTTCTTTGTGTTTTTCATAAAAGTGGGGAATATAGCTCTGGATTCTTTATTTTTTCCCCCAATTTATAGACTCAACAAATGTTCAACAAACTTGGTAGAACAAAGCTTCTTTGTCTGCTTGTGTAATGTGGCGGCTTCCGGCATCTCCACGGCCAATGGGCTTGGCGATGAGTCAGTAATCCGTGGAGAGGTTCTTGGGAATTACATACATGTTCTGACTCCCATCAGCCTTTCATGACCTGCTTTTCACATCCAATGGGGACTTCGAAATGCGACCATTCTTTGCATCTTTATTCAGATGGTCGTCTCTTTTGAAGAAGAACTTGACCTTCTGTGTTGATCAATTGATGGATTGTTTATTGGTGCATCAGTTTGGATTCAGGGGTTCTCTTTTAGTTGATGGATTGCAGGGTTATTACCGCTAAGAACTTGATGCTCATGGTGTCCCAGAGTTGGTCAGTAGGACCCTCTCAAGGTGGCTCCTGGGTTTCAGCTAGATCCTCCATCCTTTCAACATTTCCATGCATGGAGGCACATCCCGGGGTCGCCAGCCGACCTTGTCTTTCCCCCAGGCCAGCTCTAAAGCCAGCCATTTTCCCCGGCCCCTCCTCAGGGAGTGGTCATTAGAAGCCAAGACCTGGGCTCTGCCTATGCTTCTTGTTGTCGGGACAGTGTGTGTGTGTGTGTGTGTGTGTGTGTGTAGTCACACGCCCAGCTACTAATTTCCCATGGAACGAGAGAGCAAAGAATTGGAATGGAGTCCATATTCCTACGGCACTTGGTTACCCGCTGATGGGTCCGGCTCACACACACCTCTGCTTCGGCGACGCCCCACTTTTCCCTTCGTTCTTCTGAGGAGCAGAGACTGCTTGTTGTTGCACTTCCTGGATGCCTTGGATTTGGTCTTGGGGGGGCTTGGAGTAGCCTGTCTCCTGAAGGGGCCTCTGCGAATGCTGGTGGCTGTGCATTGGTTTGCTCAATGCCTTTCCTTTGGGGACCTCCCCCACTGGTGCCCTCACAGCGAGTGGTGCCCTGAGCCTGGCTGTGCTCTCAGGAGGAGAGACTTCAGGGCCCTCCCAGTGCGGGCACCTCTGTCCCTTCTGCTGTAGCCGCCACTCCTGCAGTGGCTTCTCTGCGCCTCTCTCCATGGCCCCATGGACGTCATCCCCACAGGGAAGTGGTCTCTCCTGGCCCGTGGGCCAGTGGGGCTGAGACCAGGGCAGACGCAGACAGAAAAAGTAGTGGAAATGGAGCCTCGGAGTCAATAATGCTGAAGCAACCACTATGAGGGGACAAAACGGAACCCACAGAGTCCATTCCGACTCACATCCGCCCTGCAGGATAAAGTAAGCTTCCCCCGTGGGCTTCCAAGACTGTCCATCTTTCCAGGTTAGAAAGCCTCCTCTTTCTCACTCGGAGAGGCTGATGGGTTTGAACCACTGACCCGGTGGCTAACTCCTGGGGCTCGTCAGCAGGGCAGTTGCCAAACCGAGGAGACCGCGGCGGTTGCCCTGGTCACTTACTGACAAGGCTTTGAGCCCCGCTGGGAGGATCGGGAGTGTCCTTGCTGTTTTGCCCTGTCGATTTTCCTCTCTGCCCCGACAGGCTGTGAGGAGCTGACGAAACTCGACCTGACGGTGAATTTCATCGGCGAGCTGAGCAGCGTCCGCAGCCTGCAGCACAATGTGCACCTGAGGGAGCTCTTCCTCATGGGCAACCCCTGCGCGGACTTCGAGGGGTACAGGCCGTTTGTGGTGGCCACGCTCGGGCAGCTGAAGGTGTGTAGGTCTGGCGGGGTCATCTGTGCACAAGATACCGAGGCGTCAGCCCAGCCCAGTCTAACGCTAGTCCAACAGTCCCATGCTCTTCAGACACACGGAGTGGCGGGCTGGTGACACAGAAAGAGCCACCTGGGCTCATTGAGTACCACGAACAAGCCAAAACGTTTGAGTTGTAGAGATGACCACAGCATGGTGGGTAAGGGGCCCAGGCAGCAGAGTGATGAAGCACTTGGCCACCCACCCGGGCTCTCCCGCAGGGGGGCAGCCTGCTCCTGTCAGAACCAGTCCCTCTGAGCCAGGCTCGGCTCGGCAGCACCGGGAGCCTGGAACCTTCTAACTCGGATCAAGAGTGACACTCTCAGAAACCCTCAGGGGCAGGGTCACCGTGAGTCGGCATCCAATCGATGGCAGTGAGTTTTCTCTGGAGCTCACTTCTCTGTCCTGGGGCCTCGGAGACTGGCAGGGCCCCCTGGACTTGTAATCCCTGTGGGCTGGCCCAGCACCTAGAGTGTACAGGTGGTTCAAGCTGTCGGCGATGCTGGGGCTGGGGTTTCCTGGGAGAACAGCGACTCCATGTCTTAGACTCATTCTGCCCTCACACCAAACACCAAAAGCCCATGGCTGCCAACTCGATGCCATCTCCTCCTGACCCTGCAGGACAGGGTTGAACTGCCCACGGGGCTTCTGAGCCTGTAAACTTAGGACTGCTACGTCCTTCTCCCCAGAGCAGCTGGTTTCTGCCAGTTGCCACCTTCCCCTCTACAGCCAACCACTTAACTCCTGTGCCACCAGGACCATGTCTTAGACCAGAGTGCCTCCCAAACCTGGTGTCTTGGGGATCAGGAGAGACATGCAGTTTCCAGGAGAACCCCTCGAGCTGAGCGAACTGAACTCTCCTCCCTCACCTGGCCATGGGCTCCTGGCAGGCCTGTCCTCGCTTCTTGAGGACATCTGTCCCGGAGAGCCGTGTTCCCCGTAGTTGCTTCTGCTGATTGCCCAGCAGCAGAGCCTGTTGCCCCCATGTTAAATGTCTCAGGCTGAGAGATGCGCGCGTCTGAGATATTGCAACCTTGGGCATTTTGTTGTGGTTCAGACGAAAGTTCCAGCGCATGTCCAGCCCTTTGATGATCCACACACTGTTTGTTTCAGGGCCCTGTCCGCACCAACACACCCCACGTATATAGAAATAAATATAATAAAATACATATCATCTATGTTTGCCTGTCTGTTTTTGTTTCAGGGCCCTGTCCGCACCAACCCCCCCCCCCACCTTAGTGGCACAGCCGTTCTCCCACACCCTCCTTAGGCTCCCCATTCCCACCGACCAGCTCCCCCGCCCCTCCTGTCTGCCGAGCTGTGCTTGTGGGCACCTGGCCCTGTGGTCTCCTGGGCCGGTGGTTGAGACACACGTTCCTCCAGGGCAGGCGGCATCATCCACTCTGCTGTCCGGCTGCCATGCATCCTTTGCCCAGCTCTGCCTGTCTGAGACAGCCCCAGATTAAACGGGCCCCTGCATGTGACCCCAGCATCAGCAGACCGACCAGGGCTCCCACTGCTTTCCAGCCCATCTGTGTGGCACACCTCATTCTCCTCATCTGGGAGTGGATGCCAATCCCTGCTAACCGGAGCCCTTGGCGGGGCTGCATGGTGCCCACAGTTTGTCTCCAGCTACCATGGACACTCTGCTTCTGGGCTATGGAACAAAAGGACCTTAAATTAGGTCTTCAGTTCTCAGGTCATTGTATTAGTTTCCTGTTGCTGCCTGTGTCAATCTGGGTTGACTAGAGAAACAAATTCATAGACACTCATATGTGTATAGGAAAGAGCTTTATATACAAGAGCAGTTGAATATTGAGAAAACATTCCAGTCCAGTCCAGATCAAGTCCATAAGTCTGATATTAACCCATATGTCCCATACCAGTCTATAAAGTCCTCTTCAGACTCACAAAACACATGCAATGATGCCAAATGCAAGAAGATCACAGGCCAGTGGGTGGGAGGTCTTGCAGATCCAGTGGTGTTGTAAGCATCTCAGCACTGGAAGGGGTCTCCACGCAGCTCCTCTGGGTCCAGAGCTCTAGCCCAGCTCCATATGTCTTGTCAACAGGAATGTCTTGCAGGGAGTGAACATGTATCCTACCTCCAGTGAGCTACTTATCTTCTTAGTGCCTCCAGATGAGGTCATCAAGCTGCATCTTGATTGATAGACTAAACTCCATCCCTTCACTCTTAAGAGTCGCAAATTGATGACAGATTATGTAACTACCACACTGCCCTGGTGAATGGTCACAGAAGCCGTGGCTTAGAAAGCTCACCTACATTATCTGGCTATGGTGGTGTAGTGGTTAAAAATTGGTTGGACTGCTCACCAACTGCTCCGTGGGAGAAAGATGGGGGTTTCCACTCCCATAAAGAGTGGGGACAGTTCAACCCTGTCCTATAGGGTCACAATGAGTCAACCTTTAATTGATGACAGGGAAGGGGAACTTGTCTGTGTTTCCCGGCCAGGAGCATCCCAAATTCGCTGCCATGAAGTCAATGGCAGATGCAGGGTCATCCTACAGGACAAGATAGGATAGCCACATCCTCCTCCCTCAGAGGGGCTGGTGGGTCTGAACCGCCCCCGCTTGAGGTTAGTAGCCAAGCGATTAACCTTTGATCTCTCAGAGGTTGGTGCCAGCAGCCTGCTATCATCAAACCTTACCTGACTCTGACCCAGACACTCCCTGCCGCTCTCGTCATCCCACGGGGCCTTTTGACGACACGGGGTCACTCTTACAAACCAGGATAGCCTTCCCCCTCAAGTCCTTTAATTTAATCACATCTCCACGGTCCCTTTTGCTGTCTAAGGGGTCACATGCAGGTCCTAGGTGAGAGGGCATTGGCCTTTTTGTAAAAGGAGGCTGGTAAAGAAATTGACTCACTGCCATCGAGTCGGCGGTGATTCACAGCGACCCTGGCGGCACAGTGGCTGCACAGTAGGCTGCTCGCCCCGAGACTGGCAGTGCACAACCACCAGCTGCTCCGTGGGAGGAAGAGGGGCTTTCTGTTTCCGTAAAGCATTACAGCCTGGGGGACTCACAGGGGCAGTTCTACCCTGTCCTATAGGGCCGCTGTGATAGGGCAAAGCCATAGACCATCCATGCACCAGTAGCTTGGTTTCTAATAGGCCCCACTCATTATTTTGATTTCCTGTCCATGTAACTTCAGTAGAAGGGGCTGCTGTGAGCCGCATCGACTCCACAGGCCCTCCCAGCAAGCACGGTTCATCCCGAGTTCCCCGTCTCAGACATTCCCAGCGAAGTGAGCTGGGAGCCGATCGATCGAGTTGCGCCTTGGGTCAAACCGCTGCTCTGGCTGTTTTTCCTCCCAGTGGTTGGATGGTAAAGAGATCGAGCGCTCCGAGAGAATCCAGGCACTGCAGGACTACCTGGAGATTGAGCGACAGATCCGAGAGCAGGAAACAGCTCACCGCCTCCAGCGGGCCAAAGACAAAGAAGAGGCCCGGAGGAACCTTGAGGGAGAGCAGGGAGGCCAAGAGCAGCCGAGACGTGACCCCCGTGGCGACAGGCGCCCCTCCACAGACGCCCACACTCTCTGGTAGGTGGATCATGATGTTTATCTGCTAGGTAGCCAGCTGCCTGCTCTCCCAAGATCGCCGAGACACCATCCATTAGGTTTGTTTTGGACAAAACAATGATGCGATTTGAGGGTGAAGAATAACAGCCCCTTGTTTGCGGGGAAATTGAGAGGCTTTCTTCCTTTAAACAAAACAAAACAAGCCTTTCCAATGTAGCTGGCTGAAGGTGTTGTTGCTAGGTGCCGTCTGTCTCATCCACCTACCAGGGACCCTAAGGAGCAACCCCTGGTCCTGCATCCTCCCCACAGCGCTTCTTACCGCTGAGCCACTGTGTCAATCCATCATGTTGAGGGACTCCCTCTTGTTCACTGCCCTCTGCTTTACCAAGCACGATGCCCTGGCCCCAGGACCGGCCTCTCCTGATATATAGCATGTCCAGAGTGTGTGAGACGTGCATAGTACCTGAAGGTCCAGCCGACCTGAAGTGATCCTCAGAACAGTAGCTGTAAAAGACCTACCGGTCAGGTGAGCGAACAGGTGTGTCCTGATTTAGAAAAGGGGAAACATGTCAGCAAAGTCAAGTGCAAATCAGGGAATTGTATGTGGGACCATTCTGGACGTGTCGTAGAAAGGTTCTGTTTTGCGAATTAGACAATGAATATATTTTTAATGCGATTAACGACCCTCTAATTGGCCTTTTTGGAAGCCTACATTTTGGATGCCAGTTTCTTTGATGAAAATGGCCACTGTTGTCAGTTGCTTTGATTGTTTTCATAGTGAGCACTTTGAATAATCTTGATAAGGGGCTCACTTCGAATGGGGAGGATAATTATGAAACCGTCCATGCGCCCATAAGCAATCACTACATTCCAACAATCACTACGGAGGTAGCGATCGCCCACCGCCCAGTCAGTGGATGGCAGCGGTTTGCATGTTCCCTGTGGATTTCATTTTTTCCTTTCTTTTTTTTAGGATTTCATTGTTTCACTTCAGTTACTTTAAGCACGTGTTCACAGCAAGAACGCCCGTACTTTCTGCGTGTCACTTTGGACTCCCTGTGTAGTCACACAGCACTGTAGATCTGCTGCTCATGAAGTTCTCTTATTCTCACACTAGGTTATTTATGTCAGTATTCAGCAGGAAAAGGACAAACGGATCTGTCTTGGAAGTACAGCCAGAGTGCTCCTCAGAGCCCAGGGTGGCAAGGCTTCATCCCACACACTCCGGACATGTTGTCAAGGGAGACTGGTCCCTGAGAAGGATCCCAAGCTCGATAAAGTAGAGAGGCAGCTAAAAAGAGGAGGGCCCGCAATGTCATGGCCTGGCCCAGTGGCTGCAGCAAACGGCTCACACAGGAGAACAATTGTGAGGCCGGTCCAGGCCCGGGCCCAGGAAGTGCTTTGTTCTGTTATCCACGGGTCACTATGGGTTGGAGCCAACTCAGGCACTAACAACGATGTTCAACGCTCCCCGATGTTCAACGCTCCTTCCCTCTGTAATGCTCTCCTGGTCACCACATACTGACTCCTTCTCGACCCAAGAAGCTTCTAACTCCTTGTGGGCCATACAACCATCTGTCGTTTCTTACCCATCACAGCACCCACTCGGGCACAAGGCACATCATAAGTGCTCGATAAATGTGTTTTAATTGATGGATGCTGGTGACAAATATATATATATATATATATATAATCATTTTATCTCCCTTATGATCCGTTTAAATTAGTTCTACTGTTTAATATTTTCTGCTCTCTGTTCAGTTGAGGTTTTTATCTGTTTTAATTGGTTATGCATATTAGTTCGTATTGTAGTTTCTTTTTTTTTTCCTGCAGATGAAATCCAGGATAGGGAATTCTATAGCAACAGTAACTGGATTAATGGTTCCTGGGGTGGTGGTGGTGGTGGTAGTGGGGATTGGCAGGGGAAGTTCCAGGTAAATGGGGAGCTAATAATTTAATGAGGACAAGAATGAAGAAAATGTTCTAAGACTGATTGTGGTGAGTATTGTACAACTCTTCTTGATGTGATTGAACTATTGAATTGTAGGATATGTGACTTATATGCCGATACAACTGTTGGGGGGAGGGGAAGGGGACCGGGCTAGTCGATGAGTCCCTGTCACCTAATACCCAGGCTGAATGCTAAGCTGCACCTGCAGAACATCCACAGCTTTGGGATCTTTTCTTACACCTCGGGTAACCCCCCTCAGTATTGTCCTCACCCCCACTCTCCTCCTTCCCTCTGTCCCCATGCCACCCACCGTCCTGAGAGGAGTGGATTTCTGGGCGGTGTTCACGCTCATTCCCTGAGACTGTGGCCTGGCATGCCACTGGATGTATAGCCCGCAGGACCTCCCCAGGGCCCTGTATTTCTCAGCTGGCAGTTCTTTGGCCCTGACTGCCCAGAATGGCCCCAGCTGCAGCAGCTGCTGTAGCCCTGTCCATGGTACCAGCCAGATGTGTCCTGGTTGGCCCTCCTCTGTGGATGACCTTCATGCTGTCTTCTCATCTTCAGCCCCTCATGGTCTTGCACATGCGCCTCGTGCCCATTTCTCCAGGGTGCCCATCATAGCCCATCCACACCTTTTCACCTTCATGCACACCGTCAAACTGTCTTCTAAAGGGGTTACGTGGATTTGTACTCATTCAGCAATGGTACCTGAGGGTTCTGCATCTTGGGCAACAGTGGGGGCTGCGACTCTGACGTAGACTGGCCAGTTCAGTTGGGTGCTGCATGGAACGCTGATTGCTGTTTGACTTGCATTTCTGTTCCTAGTAGTGGGTTTGAACATTACTCACCCTCGGCCACAGAGTCAAGTCCGTTCTGACACTGAGCAATCCCTGCAGGAAAGAGTGGGTTTCTGAGACTGTACATCTTTGTGGGAGCACAAAGCCTCGTTCTTCTCTCTTGTTATGGCTTATGGTTTCAAACTGCTCACCTTGCAGTTAGCAGCTCGACAGGTAGCCTATAACATCACCAAGGCTCCTCTTGAATATTGCTGGTGAGTTTGAATCCTTATGTTTTCTGGTGCTTCAGATTTCCTCTGTTCAGTCAGTTATGCACCTGTTTCTCATTGATTGCTATCTCCTGTACATTCTGGTCTGCGTTCCAACTCCTTGGTCATGGTCCACCTTGTGAATATCTTCCCCCAGCCTGTGATTTGACTTTCATTTGAGCAAGTGGTTCTTTCATAAAAACGTCAACTGTTAATATAGTTCAAGCTTAGTTTTGTATTTTAAACATCTCATTTATGAAATTCTTCATCACCTGGGTGTCATAAGCCCATTTTCTTCTAAGCATTGAATAATTCCATATTTTCAAGTCTCCATGTCTCTGGAATCAACCTTTGTGTATGATGTGGGATAGAAAGAACAGAGGCTCACTCCCATGGAGTCGTTGCCGGCTCATCGCGCCCCACAGGACAGGGTGGAACTGCCCCTGTGAGTTTCTGAGACGGTAACTCTTTACCGGTGTAGAAAGCCTCGTCTTTCTCCTGCTACGTGTAGGATAGGCAGCTCATTATCTACACCCCTTATTAGGGTGTCATCCTTCTCCCATGGAGTCCTGGTGGCACTGTGGGCTAAGCATTGCACAGCTACCAAGAAGGTCAGCAGTTCAAACCTACCAGCTGCTCCTCTGGAGAAAGACATTCTGCGCTGTCCTATGAGGTTGCTATGACGTGGAATTCATCCCCGAGCAGTGGGAATGGAGTCCTAGTGACCCAATAGCCACTCCCACCGCTGACCCTCGACTAGTGTGTTTGTACGTCAGCCTCACCGCCTCCCAGGTAGTTTGAAGCCTTGTAGATGTGTAGTGAACCTTGACAGGGGCTGGTCTCAGTTTCAAAGTCCTCACGGCTCTTCTTGGGGCTTTATTTGCAGCCAGGATTTTAGAATCTCCTAATCAGTCCCCTAAAACCTCCTAGTGGAATTTCAATGGAAATGGCATGTAACCTACATGTCAATTTAGGGGAAATCGAAACATTTGTGGCATATGTTTTTCTTCTCCTTGCTGAATTTTTGAAGAACTCTGCTTACTTCGACTCTCTTTGGAGCCCTTCCGCGAGATGCTGCCATTTTCTCAGCAGAGGCCTCACGCCAGCTTTTACTAGATTTAGCCCAAACTATCTTGTTGAGTGGAATTTTTAAAATAGCCTCAGAATTGGTCCGAGCTGATGTATAAAGAGGCCGATGATTTGCGGGCGAGATGATGTAGTAGGAAGCCCTCTTGCTAACCATTTAAAGACCATGCAGTAGGGAGCCTGTAGAGTCCCCTGTGTTTCTATGTTGAAAAACGCTTTGTAAACCACAGCCTCAATTTTTTTTCCAACCACAATGCCCCACTTAATTTCCTGCATGGTCCGTGCTAAGACCTCCAGCATGGGGTGGACGAACAGCCTCAACAAGGGGCATTTGGGTCTTGCTTCCCACTTCAAAAGGAATGCCTTCCAAAACAGATGCCTCAGGTTTACGGACGATCCTTCCTGCGGGGTTTGGACAAGGACTAACACTCTTCTTTCTGTGCCCAGTTGATACACAGCTTTGATCACAGCAGATACTGGGGTTTTACTAACTCTTCTTGGCGCAGCTCTGGGAATGATTGTGGTTTTCTGCTGAAGTGTCAGATTACATAAAACCATCCTTGCCGGGTCAGGATAAGCCCTACCTTGGCCCTACATCCTTTTGCAACCACGTTTGATTTTAAGTAAAGATTGCTTTAGAGGTGTCTCAATGTCTTCAAGCTCCTCCATCCAGCCTCGAACTGATGCCCTTGGGTGTTCCTCCCTAGCCCCTTTTCTTTAGAAGGCGCAGGACCTGCCCCCGCACCTGACACCCAAGAGGAGGAGGGCGGGAAGAAGAAATTGGATGAGGTGGAAGACGACCTGGCGTTCTGGAACAAGCCCTCAGTGTTCACTCCCGAGTCTAGACTGGAAACTCTGAGACACATGGAGAGACAGCGGCGAAACCAGGAACGGCAGAGGTAGTTCATCTGCTCCCTGCTCGTGAGATGACTGCCCTCTGGTGGAAGGTGTTTCCCGCTCACACCTTGTTTCCCCGAGTCTATGTTAGAGCCCTTGGGCCCTCAGAGTTCTGCACTGGATTTTGTGGTCTTGCACTAACCTTCATTCGTAGCAGCCCACCCTCTTGAGGACCCTGGGGGTGGTGTCATCCTGGGTTTTGTGGGTGCACTTTCCAGGTCATGCGGAGCTAGTGATGAGAGTATGACCTGATCAGAACCCCTCATTACCACGACACTCAGAATGGGACAGCAGGTGGGCAGAGTGGGCTCCCTGGATGCTTCTCCCTTTGTTTACGAAATGAGTCATTGGGAATGAGCTTCTCTCATTCCTGTTCTCTCACTGCAGCTTCCCAGGACATTTATCGGAGCTCACACTCTCAGATGCTTCCAGCACTGTCTGATGGCTTGTTCGAAGCTCCCCTCCCGAACGCTGTTGTTCCCAGATTCACTTCCTATGGCTGGGTCCGCCATATCACCAAAAAACAAACCCGGTGTCACTGAGTCAGTGCTGACTCATAGCAACCCTACGAGTTGAGCTGCTAGCTGCAAGGTCAGCAGTTCAAAACCACTAGCATGCTCTTTGGGAGGACAGGGCTTCCTCCTCCTGTAAAGAGTTACTGTCTGGGAAACCCACAGGGGCAGTTCTACCCTGTCCTACAAGGTCACCATGAGCCCTTTTGCATCCTAGCATAAATCTGGCACAGACAATGCATCACTCGTGGGACCATTTACCTCCCACTCAGGAACGTGGTCTCTTGGGTCTGAAATACACTCAGGGCGTGGCAATGACCTGAGTGAGTCCCCGTCCCTTACCCGATGACGGGCAACTGGAGGCCAGACCTAAACGAGTAGGGGGACAGCAGGAAAGTCTAGCCGCTTCCATCAAACCTTCTCCCTTAACTGGATAGTGAGGCGCAGCAGCCAGGAAGTGGACATGACCTGAAGGACGAGTTTGGGAAACTGTCACCTGCGACCTCGGGAAGCGCAGTGGAGAGCCTGCGGAGCTCTGGGTACTTGTCTTGGCGCTGTTTATTGGCCCATAGTTGGAATGGGTCCGATGACAGGGAGTTTGCAGTGCTGGATGTCACTTCTCTCCAACCGCTTCCTCCTTCGGGTTTCCATCCCTGTTTTACCGACAGTAATGAGAAAATTGGAGAAGCCAGCACATTTCAGAGTGCTTTTTAAGCTCAAGAGCCCTTTTGAAATGGAAATCCTGGGTGTATGCATTATACTTTTTAACGTACATACCACATACACACATGTGCTCAAAAAACTCTGATGGCAAAGCGGGTTATCCATCAGGCTGCTAACGGCAAAGTCAGCGGTTTGAAACCATTAGCCACTCGAGGGAAGAAAGATGAGACTTTCTACTCCCATAAAGATTTAGAGTTTCGGGAAACTCTGGCCTTTGGGTCACTGTGAGTCGGAATCCATTTGACGGCACTGAATTTGAGTTTACCCACCTGTGCAAAGGCAGGTCAACATGTCCTGCTGCAAAACCACAGGGACCATTACTAAATAGAGATATCACATGCGAAGCTGTCGGGCCTTGGTATATCCTCCCGATAGGTCTACACACTTCTGAGGGCAGAGTTTCCATCTCGAGAACCCTTCCCCTAGTAAGTCAAACCTTGGACTCAGACCATGTCAGAATGGCAGTTTGGGCATCCCAGGGACTCAACTCATGTTCCTCAGAAACCTTCTCTGAGTTCTGGGAACCCAAAGAAGTCTGACGGGCGAGATCAGGGCTGTGGGGTCAGGAGGGGAAGGTTTCCCGATAAGATTGCCCCAGGACAGCCGGTGGTGCCCATAGGCATGAGGAGGCACATTGTTGTGATGGGAAAACCATTCCTGAGGCCCTGCCCTGGTCTTCTCACCAGTTTTCATTTGTCTGAAAATATCTTCCGAATTAGCTCCCATGGTGACCCATGTTCTCTGAGAAACTCTATCGAGATGGCCCCTGAGCAACGCCATGAACTTTTGAGCTGACCTCTCTGCCTTGAACTTGAGGCCAAGTAGATCCTCTGGGAAACCACTGTTTTGCTTGCAGTCTTTCATTTGAAGGCACCCTAGGGAGACGAAGACTGATGAATGATTGAAAGAACTTGGATACAGCCCTGCCCTGCTCACAGAGACGTGTGTAAACACGTTGTGTGTGTGGAATAACCCTGTAAGAACCGGGGCCCAGGTAACAACGCTTTGTGACTCAACTTCATACATACGCCAAAAATAAAAACCCACACTGTTTTTTTTGGCCGATTAGTTCATTTCAACTCATGACAACCCTATGTGTGGAACAGAAGCACCGTCCAGAGGGTCTGCAGGGCTTGGGCCGTGGGTCACCAGGCCTTTCTTATGCAGTGCCTCTGGGAGGGCCCAGACTACCAGACTTGCTGTTAGCAGTGGTGTGCTTCACCTTCCCAACCCCACCCCCGCCCCACCTCAGGGACCCATCTACACACACACACACACACACACACACACACACACACACACACACACGATATACATAGACATATGCACATAGATGCAGTGTATGACATTGGGGGATAATTTTCCCCCTCCTCTTTGGAAGCCTAAACAAGTAAGGCTGAATGGGATGGAGGTCTGAATCTTCCTGTCCAGTGAGTCATCCCCTCCAGGAGCTCCTGGGTTGGCGGCGGCGTGATTGCAGCCTGCGTTCCCTGGCTGGGGAGAACCGGACAGGAGCAGCCTTGTCCACATGAGGAGCAGAGAGGCAGCTACGTCTCGCTTAGCATCCTGAAGCCAGGTTGGCTTTGATGAGTGGGAGGCCATCGTACAGAGACCACAGATAGCTTTCACCGCTGCCTTGCTGGCCTCGGGCTCATGAGCCCACTGAGCAGTGACAGGCGTGGCTGGGGACAGAGGCTGGTGGGCTCTTCCACAAATATTTTGATGGAGAATTGACTGTGATCTGAGTAAAACCACACACACAGAGTAGACTCACTTTCATGAGCAATCCACTCGAACCATTAGGTACATTTTCTGGGTCACACCTTTGTTTGACAGACGGCCAGAAAGAAAGCCACTGTGGGTCACCCAGTTGGTTTTGACGCCTGGTGACACTACAGGCCAGAAGGGAGCTGCCCCCCTTTGGGCCACAGAGACTGCAGAGCGTTAGGGGAGCAGAGAGCCTCTTGTATTCTATGCTCTGGGCACTCAGAAACTGATAGTCAGCCAGTCTTGGTTTTATGACTCATCCCAGAACTCAGTGCTTGGCTGGCACACATCAGCAACTTCCGCCCAAGCAGGAAACCCCAACGAAGCTGCCTTAAACACTGCTTCACAAAAATACTAATCATTTCTATTCTCTCTTTCTCCGCCCCCCCCCCATGCACCCCCAACCTTAAGTGAAAAGGAGAAGGAAGCAAAGCCACCCAGGACATTGATCACTCAAGACGGGAGAGCCCTGAACGTCAACGAGCCCAAGTACGTGAGTCACGTGGGGTTCATGTTGGCCATGGTGGGTGACGGCTTCCGGGACAGGCTTGCCCCAGCAGAGAAGGCGCCGACTGCTCCCCACCACGCGGATGGGCCCGCCAGCCCCGTCGCTTTGTGTCTGCCCATTTATGGTCCAGGCATCTCCGCAAGGCTGTCTCCAAGCGCTGCACCTTGTCCTCCACGTTCCTGGTGTCCGGCGCGTGACTACCACTGCAGGCTGGTTTTCGGGCCCTTCTGGGAAACCAGTGCTGGATTGACACACGTCTTCAGCTCTCTGGTCCTCTTCTTCCCTCCTTCTCACATCACAAAACCCCAGTCCTGTTGGAAGCCAACACTCAGCCACCCCGCCGGTCTGGCTGATAGCGGTGACCACACATCTCAGAGGGACTTCCAGCCCCCTCCCTGTCTTGTGCCATGTAATCCCCCTCTCCCTCCTGCCTGCATGCCCGGGTCTGCTTGTTTTGCTGAGAAGCAGCAGTCTCAGAAGAGGGCGCCTCCTCCCATGCCAGGCTACCCATGTGCCTTGCGGGCGACCCCTCATTGCTTCTGGTCAAGGACTTGGCTTCTACAAGACCCCTTCTCCCTTCTACATCCTCCCACCAGCACGCAAACACATCTTAATGTTCGTCTTTCTTATTCCCTCACTAACTCTGGAGCAGGTTACATGTTGGGCTGGGAACTGAAAGATCACAGTTGGCAACCACCAGCGGGTGCCTGGGGAGAAAGATGAGACTTTCTAGTCCCATAAAGAGTGACAGTCTTGGCAACCCACGGGGCGGTTCAACCTTCCCTGTCCCAGAGCGTCGTTATGAGTCACTGACACCAGGGCAGGGAGAGAGAAAAGGTGAGGGAGAGGCAAGCCCCCTCGCGCTCAAGCAAGAGAAAGCCCAGGCAAGCGGGAGCAGGTGCCTTCTAGCAGTTTCCCTGAGGCATTTCCGGGTGTTGGGTTTGCCAACTCAGAAATGGAAACGAAAACTTCAGCCAGCAGATGGCTCCAGCTCCGTTGAGATGGCTCCCATGCTCGCAGCTGGTTGTGCAATGTCCCTGAAGACCGTCCTGTTTCGAGGGGGCTGCGGCGACAACTCACGCATGCCTATGTGGAAGGCTTCCCCTGGGATTGTAGCCCCCAACAGCCCAAACACGCCGGCCACTGGGGGTTACCACAGAATTACCATCAGCTCTCCTCCTGGCGCTGCGATGTGTTGGGGTTATCGCTACAGCATTGCTAAGGGACTTAATTCCACCCCCACCCCCACCCCCAATGTGTTGTGTCCTAGACTTGACTTCTCTTTGAAAGACGATGAGAAGCGTAACCAGATCACCTTGGACCTGGCCGTCTACAGGTAAAGCTGTTTGCTGTGCCTGGGTTCCATGCCACTGTCTGTTGCTGTCCTCAGCAGCAAGCTCTTGAGTCAGAGACGTTTTGAGATGGAGTTTGGCGTCCCCTGAAGCCCTGGTGGCATAGTGGGTTTTGGATCGGGCAGCTAATCGCAAGGCCAGCAGTTCCAAACCTCCAGCGGCTCCCCGTAGAAAGATGAAGCCTTTTACTCCTGTAAAAAGTGACCGTCTCAGAAACCCACGGGGGCAGTTCTACCCTGTCCTGTAGGGTTAGTAGGAGTCAGGACCGGCTCTATGGCAATACGTTTTTTGAGATCTCCCTTCGGGGAGGGCCAGGGAGCATGGCGGTTCACTGGGAGAATTCTCACATTCTTGGGTGGGGGAGGGTGTGCACAAAACCCAAACTCACTGCCATGAAGTCGCTTCATCACAGAGTATGTCTATCCCGTGGTTTTCCAAGGCTGTAAACCTTTTTGGAAGCAAAAAGCCCCATCTTTGTCCTGGGAAGTGGCTGGTGGGTTTGAACGGCAGACTTTACTGTTGGAAGCCCAATTTGTAACTCACCAAGCCCCTAGGGATCCTAGCAAATGGGGCACCCAGGGTCAATTCCCAGTCAATGCACCCAAGCACAGCCCAGTCAGTAGAGGCCTGTGTCTTGCTACCATGCCAAGCAGGTTTCAGCAGAGCTTCCAGGCTCAGACTAGCAAGAAAGGCCTGGCAACTTCACTCTCCAAATCAGCCAGTGAGCACCCTGTGGACCACAATGGTCCCTTCTGTGACCGGCCGTGCAGGGCCTGGAGCGTTTTGCATGTTCCCCTGTGCAGAGGATCACCAGGAGGCAGGGC